TTTTTTTTTTGGAAGAAATGTGAATGCATTTATGGAAAGACAACATTATTAACATATTACAAAACAAGTTTCATGATGCTCAGACAGACAGTTGTTGAGATATTTGCATGTGAAACAACAGGAAGTGATGTCAAAGAGGAAAGTCTGCATGTGAATGTTTAAAAAAATAAATTTTATCAATTTTAATATTTGAGACAAATTACCATCATACTATTTACAATGTGTTAACATTTTTAAGGCCTACGAAAGATTGATTTAAGACATTTTAAAGCTAATTAAGGCCTTAATTTTGGATCGATGAATTCAATGCCTTTTAAAGCTTTTTAAGGATCCGCAGGAACCCTGTATTTTTATTTCCTGTCACACATAATTTTATGAACTTATCTTTTAATTCCATCCACATTTCAAGTGAAACAACAGTTTGATTTATTCTCCATGGTAGAAAAACAAAATCAGAGTCTGCAGCGACTCCACTGTGGAACCAGCTGGGATTAAGGTCAGAATCAGAGAGTAAAATGTCCCTGAGTGAGAGTCTGAGTTTGTCTCCGTATGTTCCTGTGATGGACTTCTGTCCTGTCCAAAGTGTCCCTCACCTCTCACACACTGACAGGTTGTCTGAATGACCAGTTTTGTTTAGTTTCCTTCTTAACCTCTGTTGTTTTAGGCAGCAGGGCTTTAAGTTAAATGCTAAAAAAAAGATATTTCCTCCGTGACAGCAGAAAAACAACCTACTTGTTAAAAAAAATTCAATCTGTTTTCTGCTCATCATCTGACCTGATTCAAGATTTATTTATATTTACTTTTTTATTAAAAATAATTGTATTCTATTATGTTTGCTTTTGTGGAAAATAAGTCAATAATGACTGAAAAAATAAAAGCAATATCAATCTGTTCTACAATTAACCAGGTAGGTTTGAAAACAGATAGTTTCAAACTAAAACTCATTTATAAATCATRCATTTGATAAATACAATTCATATAGACGTCATGAAAGAGTAGGYTAAGTTAGAGAGCATTTGTCAACGATATCTATTTTTATGTTTGAAAAGGCTGAGTTGGAGTTGGAGGTGCAGAGGTTGGAACCTGTAACCCCACCGTGAGCCCTTAACCCTCCAGCTGCTCCACATGTGTACTTTGACATCCTATAAAAAAGTAGTTCCTTTTGTCACGTTTGAGTTGGAATTTTAAGTTTTGTTCACAATTTATTTTGGGGTGAACTGTAAAGGCTGTGAAGAATTAAACTGAATTTAAAACATACTGTTTAAAGCGTACCCAGATTTCAGGTGTGTATTATGATTCCCACTGTTCCCACTGACTGATTGTAACGTCAGGTCTTATTGCTCCTTTAGGATCAGTAAAGTTTTCTGATTGTCACCTGGACCAGGCTGCGTGGTGCTACATGTCGCCGTCTCCTCCTGGAACCATCCGGCTGCCGGCGGTTCCTGCCCCTGGGAGACAGAGGCCAGTTTCATCTGCTGACAGAGGTGTGACTCCTGTTGACGGTACAGAAGCCCCTCTGAGGGCTCCCCCCGCTCCTCTGTGGGAGGCGAGAGCATATTACAATCATATCTGACAAGAAGCAGCTCAAAAACTGTGGTACAATATTTCAAAAACAACTAAAATAAGAAAATATGTCAAAATTAAGTGCCCTTGAAAAGAATTCACGCTACTGAGATGAACAAGTGTTGAAACATATGACTGAAATGTGACAGAAAAGACCCTGTTCACACAAGACCCGTCTCTGGAAATGCTGGTGTTTTTCAATGTTTATTGTGGCAATAAATAAATAAATAAATAAATAAATAAATAAATAAACCCTTTTACATAGAACCGCTGCAGTATGGGACATGGTAAACTGCTGTACTGTCCCTTTAAGATTATTGTATTTTGACCCAAACTGTCATATATGTTGAGTGAGGATGTAAGACAAGATGTGTGTTGTGTTTGATGAAAATGTGCACAAAAACGGGGAACAATTTTATTTGATTTTTTTTTTTTTAAATCTGGCAACCCTTATTCTGGGCTCCGCTGCATGCACTGATCATGTCTGCGTGATCACWGTTACGTTCCGACCCAGTGAATAAACTAACGTTCCTTCAGACCTAGGATGGTTTTTGGCTTTGCTCCTACAAGCTGCAAAGTGTGAGCAACACAAAAAACACTGTTGTTAATTGTTGTTAGTTTAGAAGAAACTTTAGTTGTGTTCACATGCACGCTTTCACACCAGCAGAGTACTTCACATCTCCATGGGAGGTGTTACCAAAAAGCTGCWCTCTGAGACCTGGTTTCAAAAAGAGCTGATGTCAGAGACTCMCATCGCCAGAGATCGCAACAAACATTAACAGTTATTATGTAAAAACTATTAATTATAATATTAATGAAAATATTATTAATATATTAGAATGTACAAAAGATATCTTGTGTGTATATAAAACTGAACTGGCTAGCACATATTAGCTTTTGTAGCATATTTTACTATACAGAGTGTAGCACTCCTTCATGTTACAAGTTAGCACAAATTAAATATTGCAAGCTGGATTTGCCTCCAATTTATGTAAAATTTACACAGTGTAAAATAATAATAGACCATTTTTAGGTTTCTTTTAGACAAACTTGGCCTGTTGAGATAGTGGAAGTGTCAACATGTACATATTTATTATAACTATTTATAACAGGTACGAAATAATATATTTTATTACTAGGGGTGCACCAAAAAATTGTTTTAAATCAGAATTGTGATTCTCYTTTACAAAGATTCAGAATCGATTTAAGATGTCCCAAAAATGATTTTTAAATATAAAGAAAATCCAAAGGTTGTCAACCTCCATTGTGTAACCACTTGGGACGTCCTGACGTCACATGGAGCTGGATCATATGAATGTGCAGAAAGCACCAAAACAAAGAGGAAACCACAAAACTGGAGAAAAGAGAGATTCAACTGACCCTGTCTTCATTGAAGGCAAAGATTTGGGCTCATTTTGTTTTTTACTGAATGAGTCTGAGTTTGACATGAGCTTCACTGTGTACAAAATTTGCTAAAGGAAGATGAAGCACTTTAGAAACATGATAAATGGGCTCACATTGAGTTTTGAATGAAAAAAAAATAATTTTGAATCAAATCATGGGATAGTAAAAGATTCCCACCCCTATTTATTACTAGTTGAAATTATAATGATTCAGCTAGCTATTTTAAATAATAGTCACTTATACATTKTCCTTATATATCATCTAGCTGTTTTACATTATTATTGAATGAAATGAACATAATTATTGGTTTAAATTATTTAAATGTATTTGAAATATTATAAAAGATTTGTTGTGGTCCAGTTAGGCTTGCTGTTAATCAAACTGTTGCTGTGTCAGCTGTGAGCTGTTGCCCTGTTTGGACACCATCTTTGCTCCACCACGTTGCCACATGTTATAACAGGGTTATTATGTAACCTCTTCAGGTCTTACCCTCTTATCCACTGTAAAGAAGTGCAAACTCACATCTGTTGTTGCAGCATGGCTGCAAACCCCCCAGCAGTACACGGTTTCACTACCTTAATGATTTTACAACAACTTGGCTGCTTGCATATCAGCATCTAAAGCTCAGGGGAGTTCCCCTTCAACGTCAGGTCCGGTTGTTTCAGCCGTAAGTTCAAAACAAGACTGTGCCCGTTATGTGAAAAGAGAGGTCAAAGAAAGTGCCAAATTTCTTTTATGTTAAGGTATTTTCTTTCAGTTTGCATGTGTAAGAAATGCCAGTCACGGGAACTTAAATAGCCAAGACCAAACAGTGTGAGAAGTGGGCAGGAAGTCTTAAAAAGGAAGAGGCTACTTAAAGAAACATTTGACAGATGGGACGTCAACAGTTTTTTGTCACTAAGTTTCCTAACAAGGTTCCATCTGAGAAAGATCTGCAGCGGTTTCATGGAAGTGGGTAAAACAAAAATCCCCCACAGAAACAAGAGCTACAACTCTTACAGGCTTTCACTGTTTCGTTGCCACAGTAACCGTTACATAACTCAAGTCGGCGAGACGCCGCTGGATACGAAACCTGTGACTGTTTGCATATAACGGCACTGTGATGGAAACACACTTTTGCATGTATTTGCACAGACATGAGAGGTGATCCAGGGTCAGGAAACAGAGCGTATGAAGCGAGCGCTGCCAGTCTTTTACTGCTGGCTTCCTGCTCCTAAAATGACCCTCAGTGAGTCAGACTGAACTCCTGCAGGATGCAAAGGCCAACAAAAAGCTGCACTCTAAAAAAACAACATGAGATTCTAATGTCTGAGGTCACGTTTCTTATTTATTCTGCCTCAAAGTTTTCTGTTTTCAAAGAATGTACTGTTTTAATATATCCCTTGTTTATTATTTAAAAGGGCAAAACGTGGTTTGCCTCCTGTGCACAATTAAAACAATCTGAGTCAAGTCTCACAAACTGCTGTCAAAACATTTTAACATACTAAAGATGCAACTTCACAGCTTGATTTTAGAAGATGAGTGGAGTTTTATCCAAGAGTTGCCTCCTTCTACATAAAACACAACACAAACTGAATATTCACGATGAGCTCAGCAGTAATTCTGCCAAATCCCTCCAGAAGCTCGTTCAGGCAACAGACACACACAATCTGGACGACAGTCATTTCATAAACTCTTGTTGGGGGGTCTGGCAAAGCCCAAAAGGCAAAACATAAACAACACAGGGACTGCTGTTATGTAACATGTCTGGGTTAGGCCACAGGCGCCCCCTGCTGGTCACACATTCAGTTCCCTCTACAGAGACTTCTGGCACAAAGGTAGTTTTATAAAAAAAAAATAGCACCACCTAAAGTTTGAACAACTTTAGAGTTTATGTTTGTATATGTTCTTATTTAAAACATGTATCTGATTAATGCTGAGTCGTGCGGAGGCAGCCTTACCTGAGTGTGGCAGGAAGGCCACGGCTGCTCGTTTGTGCTGCGGCTGATCGTGGAAGCCTGAGCTCTGAGGCCGGGACATTCTGCTCAGGGCCTCACACGCCGATTTGGCCTGGGCGTCCTGGGTCGGCAGCGGGTGGCAGGTGGAGTGGCTGAGCAGGACGGGGGTCGGCAGGGAGGCGGGGAAGAAGAGGTCTCGGTGCTCCTTGCTGTACTTGGGTGTGGTCGGGGCATCGCCTGCTGACTGCTGGAGACRCAGAGAAAGGACAAGTTGTTAAAYGGAGGAGCTCCCCTGAAACCGTCTCATGCTCTGGTTTGTCTCTGTGAACAGCACATCCTCTCCCCTTGAGAGACACAAAACAATCCCCACTGTCAAACAGCATACATCAGCAGAATGAGCCCAGGTTCCTTCACAGAGCTGCGCTCGCTGCCGTCCCTCAGGGGTTCAGAGGTTACACTACCTGCCTGCTGGACCGTGTGCCGGTGAAAAGCTCAGCTCTACACACTGCATCCTTCTGAGCCACTTTCCTCACCGTCCTTTTGAGGACCACTTGTGAAGACAAGAGCTGCACAAACAACCTGCGACAACAGCCAGCCTGCTGTCATGGTAACACAGGAGCACAGTCAGAGAAACAAATAAACCTAGTTTTCAGTTTAAAATGGATAAAACAAAAGGTTGATGAAAACTAACCTGTACGAGTACATAAATCCAGACCGGATGAAAGCTGAAGCTTAAAGAGAAAACCTACCATCTCTCCGTTTTAACGCTAAAAGTACAAGATCATCTATGTCAGAGTTTTTACAGCTAAACAGAAAAATAAAGGTGCTGCAGTTTGATGGAGATGTCAAACCTCCAGATCTAAGATTGCACAAGACAAGATGTATCCTAAACAGAGCTCACAGGCTGTTTTTCACTGCAGTCCACCAGGGGAGGCAAGTTCAGATTACACTGAATCACAGCTCACTGGGACAAAGGTCCCCACAGAACTGGCAACGGCAGAGCACGAGCAGTTCAGCYCTGATGATTCATATCTCATGAATTAAACAGCAGCAGCGGAGGAACCACCGAGTCAGCTGAGTGTAGGAGAAACACCGTACCTGAGAAAATGAAAGCCCTGGCAGAGGGTGGGCTCCTCCAGTTCTGCTGTGGTCAGCGTGTGTGAACAACTGAAGTCCTTCTAATCATCCAGATTGGGCTTTAAATGAGATTAGAGCTGCTGTAGTTCTGTGTTTGGTCATCTTTTCAACAGGGATTAAAAACCAACCGATCGTTAAATTGAATGATTTGATGGATAATTAAATAAAAAATGGTTGAGACGGCCATCTTATGTTGATAAATGACAGAGTTGGAGCCTTCTGTGGTCAAACCCTAAAAGTGATTTGAGTTGTGAACCAMAGATATGTGCAAGGTTCACTGAGTCATAGCTATTCTTCTACTTTCATTTGGATGTGGCGGCCATCTTCAATTGGAATGACTAAAAAAAAGTTGTAGATGTACAATAAATCATTCATTTCTGTGAGCTTCAGTCAAATWTGTTTAGTGACGTTTCAAGAACGCACACGCAGACACGGGCAAAAAACGTGTTCTCCCTTTTCTGCCTTTGGTGACAGGCGATAATAAATCRATCAAGTGACAGCAGAGCTTGTGTAAAAACATACCTCTATCAGTAAAACTGAACATCATATCAGTCCTGCTGGAAGATGACACTTCAAGGGGGTTAATGAAGTGTTTACACTGAGTGTCTTAAAAAGCTAAAGCGTCCAGCTCCTGCAGAGGTCCCACCACTAAAAAAATCCACTGTGAAAACATCAAAGAGTGCCAGAGGAATAAATGCTTTCCTCCTCATATGGCAGCAAACAGAGAACACACACACACACACACACACACACACACACACACACACACACACACACA